CCACTTTTCATATCATTTGAATTTCCCATGTCATGTAGGAAATTGTAAATCTCATAGATTTAATTGCGGCTAACCGCATGCAAATCAATTTTATACAGATGTGTTACACAATCCTTTTACTTCTAGAATCTTTTACAGTTACCTTAATTATTTTTTTCTACTTTCCCAACTTTAATTACCTTCTTCACATAATGTATCAAAAGGTCTTGTATAATTCTCTTTTCTGAGATCACTGAATTAACTTGCCATGTTTTCAAGGCACATTATTTCTGTGTAATTAATTCCGATATTTCAACTTCCTCATTATGTGAACGAATCTGAATTTTCTACCATTGCGAATAAAATTAAAATTGTCAGCACCGAACGAACAAACAATATGTGTACAATATTGATTAGCAATAAAGTGACAGGTTAACTCAAAATCAGTTTGATAACATCGAGAGTCGAAAATGTACATTTATACTCATTACCTCCTTAACAGATATAAATATTTAATAATATGTAAGGTTTACATACTTGCTTTCGTAAAAAAAATATTGTCTATTTATCTTGGTAATAGTATTAGTCAGTTCAAAAAAATATATTCAGTATTATTGTACTATGTAGTATAGCGTTTTAAACATATAAACCTTTTGAGAATTAAAAGAAATGTTCGGACCAACTAATATGTTTTGTATCTAACGATAGTTTTATCTTACGATAGTGTTGATCTTTATACAAATGAGACGTAATCTTGTTCAGTAATGAAGGCAATAACAATTTCGCTTATTATCCCATTATTGCAGTTCTTTTACTCCTTTATAGTTTTTTATTTCCCGCTATAATTAAAAAATAAAACATGATATCAACAGCACTTTTTATAAAAAAAATATACAAAATAATAACATCATCATCATCATCATCATCATCATCATCATCAGCCTATCAGAGCCCACTGCTGAACTAAGGCCTCTTTCTCACATGGAGAAGGTTTGAGTACTAATCACCACGCTTGCTCAAGACGGGTTGGTGATTTCAAACTTATAAGTATTTTGAAACTATAAGTCCAGGTTTCCTCACGATATTTTCCTTCACCGTATGTCAATGGTGTCTACATACTCTCAAAAAGTACATATGACTCCGAAAAATCACATTGGTACTTGCCAGGTTCGAACCCGCGCCCTCGGCGACGAGAGGCGGGCCCTTTAACCACTAGACCACCACTGACTTACAAAATAACGGGGTATGCATAAATTTTTATTTTTTCTATGGAATAACAAAAGAATTTTTTTATTCATAAAAAGCAAGCTTCTATTTACATGTTATAATATTAACTTAAAACGAGATCAAATTATATTAATTATATTAAATTTCGTCACAACTTAAAGCATATATTTACTTAGTTTGATTAATTCTAAAAAGTAAAACCAAGCACTCAAAGGTTTCAAACGAAATTTTTATCTACACAGTTAAATATATTTTTAAATATTTACATCATTAAAAATTGTGTAATAAAGTTATGATTTGATAGTAAAAGTTTTATATTTGACATTATATTTTTACTCATAATACAGCAGTTATTTTTATTTAAAGTTTATCATTCGGATGTTCCATATAGTGAAAATTACTTCATAAAGCTAACCATGTATTTTCATTTAAAACTGAGCGGGTGGACAAAAATTTATGTTAAAAAGTTAATGATTTCTGATTTAAAATTGTGTTTAAATTCCACCTGAACAAACAGCTGTGACATACAACCCTGTCAACGTATGAATGGGCTCTGGAAATAATATAGTTTTACCACAAATTTAAATATTAATATTTTGTATTAAAAAAAATATATATCTACTTATTGAATTATATAAAATCTTTACAACAAAGTTTTTTTTTGTCTTTACGGATTCATATAATGATGCTTTATTATTTCTGAAATCATGATAATTGAATAGAAGTAACTTATTTTATTTAACTGATTTGAGATTACTCGTAGTTTTGATTATAAGGATTTTCCTTATTTATATTTTACAAAACATATATTACACTATATATCCCCTGTAAATACTGTTGAATATAGCAATATCTAAATTAAACAGAACAGAGTGGGATTAGGATTTAAAGGACTCTTGAAAGTTTCCAATTTAACTTTTTAAGTATGTAATGAGAATATAGATATTAAAATTATGAGTTATTGAGGTAGGTAAGGCTAAAATATTTTATTTAATTTCGAAATAAGAAGCAACATAATTAAAACATTCAAATATATAACTAATTTATTATTTTATATTAAAATCATAATGTATCAACAAGAAGCAAATTTAATTGCAAAACGTTGTCAAAGACATTACACATATGGACGAATTTATTCGCAAACTCATTACACCAAGTAACAGAATATAGTTGATGTAGTTATTGTAACATTTTGTGAAAATAAAATTATCTAAGCTCTTATTACCACATACTTAAAAAAACATATATTGTAACACGTAACAAACATTCCACATAATTAGTATAACTTTTTATAGAAGTATAACAAAATTATTTGATAAGCTCTTTAATAATAATTATATTCTTTATAAGCAATAGATTTTCAACAACCGTATCAGCTATGAAAAATCAATAAAAAATAGAAAAGCTTGACTATAATTTTTTCTGTTGATAACATTTACATAAAATATATAAGTTATCGCTTTTTCATGATACGTTTGAAAATTTGTTGTTGTATGTTTTTTCTTTTCCTTCTTTCAATTTAAACATTGGGGGTTTTAAAAAAAATGTTTAATTTTATTATATTATTAGAAAATAACTAATTTAAAGAATCTGACACTAATTAAAAACAAGTTTAATCTCTAATTCAGATATCTTAAGGATGTACTTGTTAAAAACTACACGTAAAGTAACAGTCCAGTTCACAGAATTAAGTAATGAACAAAATATGCGAAGATTATAGAGAAAGGAATATTAGTTGCTTTATGTATTGATGCTTGCATTGCCGGTCAAAGTAAAGTACTAGTAGACTGTATAATCTTTGGTGAGTTAGATTTAATAAAGTAAGTACATATAGTATTTATTTGATATTTAGTTAAATAATGTGATTAGCATTACAGAAACAGAATGAAGTGGTATGAGTGATGGATTCTATATTAAATTACGATTTGAGTTTAAAAAATACACAATCTGAGAAACCTTGAAAAGATTATAGACTAGTTTAAATAAAAGAATACGATATTAATTATTTATATAATAAAGAAACTTTGCAGACGGACGGACGGATATTAAATTATTGGACATAATTATTTTTTTGTTTAATTTAAAATTTATTTTGTCTTTTATAAGAATTTCAAAGGCTTGTTTTTTATTTGTTGAATAATTATTCAATAAATTTAAAAATATAACTGAGATTTTTTTCTTTTTGGAAATATTTTAATTTGATTCCCTGAAAATTCTCAGTGCTCCCACTACTACATATAACTCACAAACAAGCAACAAGATAGATTGGAAAAAATCAATATATTTTAAAAGAAAAGAATAGTTTTCATGGTCATTTCAATAATTTTTATTATAGTTTTTAAATTGTCTTATATAATTATTATACTACGAATAATATTTTTTTAGGTAATCTAATTTGTTTTAAAATTATCCCGACAATTAAAATTCTATTAATTTAAGGACTGCGTTTGAAAACTTGACAAATTCTATTTCTTTTCTATTATTATTTTATATTATGCATTCTTTTATTGTATATCAATCATGAAAGATTAATTTATGTTCTTATACTAGACAATCTAACTATAGTTACCTGATATGGCAAGTTGGTGTGTTCAAGACATTTGAGATCAATTGTATACGTGAATAATCGCAATTCTCTTTGAGGGTAACAAACAAAGTTTTCAGTGATATATAACAATCTCACAACTTGATTACGCGAGCGAGCATCCGTGCGTACGTCAAACTACGTACCTCTGTAAAAGAGATTACTATATGTTTTCTATAGTACTATAATTAGATACTGTGTACAAAGCTACTCTACATTCATCATTATTTATAATACTAAAATCACAACCCTCCCCTTTGATTTATTAAATTACCCTCAAATTTATCAGTTTTAATATAAAGAAAAAAAAAGTCTCTAGTCTTGTACCGAATCTTTCTTTTGCTCGTGAACCGTCGGAACAGTCGGAGCTCTATAAATTCGGTAGCGTGAGTCATTTTCTAATCTCATATTAGATTCTGTGAGGTATCAATCATCGTTGCGTTTTAGTGGCACTAATAAACCTATTACATTTAGTCATGAATTTGTAAGAATTATTAAATTGTTCGTTTGTAACTAGTATTTTTTATAGTTATTTATTTTTCCAAACCTAACAATACAATAAGCAACATTACGAACCAGATTTAAATTTAAGACATACTGTAACCTCACTTGTGTCAATAAAAAAATTTAGAAAAGTTTACGTCAATCTGACAACTTACACGTTATGCCAGAATTTTATGTTATCATAGCTATTTTCATGTTTATAACAATCTATTTCGTTAACCCCATTGTTCACGAATATGATGGAAAGTTGAAAAGTATGACGTTCGATTTGAATAACAAATATACAAACACCCCAGTGAAACTTACTTACTCATCTAATAGTTAGCAGCTTGGTGATTTGTGAACTCAAAACAGCTTTGTCATGGCTACATTTACGTGTTTCATATGCTTTTGTTACAGAAAATACGAATAATGATATATTTGAAGATATAAAAACTGTTCCAAAACTTATTGTTAGAACATATTCAGGAGCAGTGGCGATACTGCCGTGCAAACTAAATGTTTCTAAATTATGGAATAAGCAAGCGAAATGGCTCTATAAAGTAAGATATTTAGTTATTTATAAACATATTTATTAACATTTAATCGATGATCTTTTTAGACAAATTATTATTATAAGCCAGTTCAAGAGGATGATGGAATTATCACCGACTATAATCTTACTATTTATAATGTAAGAACAATTTACGCCGGTGATTATCGTTGTATGGCCGACGAACAACTAGGAGTAATTGTAACATTGGAAGTTATCGATGATGAACAATACAATGTAGTAAGTAATCACTATAATCATGTTTGTTTTCATATTTTTAATATAAGACTTAAACGTATAATACATATTGTTAAAGGTTAAGCCAGCGACTTCAAAAGGTCCATACCCAATGAAACCAGTTTATTTAAACCCTTTTTTAGTAATGTTTAGTGTTTGGTCCGAGTGGAGTGAGTGTAGTCAATGTGGGGTGGTCGGCAGGAGAAGGAGATATGCCATGTGTTATGTGTCTCGTATAAACGAGGTGATTTCAATTAATGAAACTTTATTATATAATAATTAATTTCAATATTTCATATAACTATCCATAACCAAAAATTTTTGACATTTTTTATAATAGTTTTTCTAATTTATTCTAATTTTGGCCAATTCCAGTATAAAACAACATTTAAATCAAACATGACTAACAGTGACGAGGAAAGTTCAAAACTATTTAAAGGTACGATGGATCCTAACTCGCATTACTGATGTTTCCTCTTTCATAATTGACTCGTTAATTGTCAGCCTTAAAAAAAAATTGTAATAGTTAAAACCGCATACCCTTTATGTTTAATAAATTATTTGCTGATTTAATAAAAAATTATGAGCATTTAACTTGTTGTGATAACCTTGAATAATAGAAATAAAAAAATATTGCGGAACCTAAAACAATAAATAGATTGATAACTACATAATATATCTTAACGAGTTTGATAATGATCCTGATACATTTTTTGATGTATGATATTAATGTCGTTTCAGTGTATCCCGACGGTATCCCTTGTCGATCACGAATATTGCCACCTTCAATCCGAAAGATGATGTCAGTACAGCAGAGACCAAATGAAATTATGCTCGGCCTGTGCAGGGTATTACATATATTATTATCAATGTTTTATACTTATTTAATTTACTTATTTAATAGATTTGTTTTTAAGTTAGAAAAAGAAGGCAATAATGAAAGCAAAACTAAATATAATATAGGAACATATAATTTTACTGTAGATTAAATTCTATTTTTTGTAACGTATCCATTGAACGTTTCATCTGATGTAGGCTCAACTAATTTAATACAGGTTCGATGCAAAGAAGCAATAGTGAACATTCGATCCCAGTCCGGCGATATAATCGAATCCGTAAACAACACCGCTGGTGTATATTCCCTCCATCAGAACCCACCATTACAACCACCATTACCAGCAAGAAGAATCATGTACGTAGAACCAGGGGAAAGAGTCATCATTATATGCTATGGGTAATTAGTTATCACCGTACCGTACCTCTAAGAAAGCTTCCTATACATATTTTCAATTAACTTTGACTCACAAATATTTTTAAATAAAAAAAAATGATTTTTAGTGTTGCTTTTTTGATATTGAATTTGAATTGAATAGACTTCATTTTATTTGTAATAAATGAAATGTGCTACTGTCTTCCATGTAATCCATCTATCTACTTATATACACAATATTCGCATGCATAGTGTAAATATACTTTTTACAGTACAACTCTGCGTGACATACCGTTTACATGGCGTGTCGACACCCATGAGGTCAGTCCCAGGTATCTCTGGAGCGCGAGCAGAGACAGGATCCATCTCAACGCGAGAGATCATATCGTCATTAAACACGTATTATATAGCGACGCTCGTGTATATAGGTGATGGACAGAGCTTTGTTTCTTTTTTTCTTAATTAATTAATTTTCCAGTTGGAACGTACTTTGAGGGCAGACATAGTAGGTTTCTTTTCAAATTTGGTTAGGTAGAGAGAGGAGCTTGGACGGTGGAGGTGAGTCGCAAGTCTCAGGCACTGTTGAAGCTCCTCTCCCTGCAACGCGATGGACCCGACACCCACACGGTGAATCCACTGAATTGATTTATATATTTTGCATATTACCCTTTAATTATACTAAAAAAATCTTTTGTTATGCAATAAATCATAAATCTTCATAATGTTTCGGTATTAATTGTATTCCAGTTGTTGGCAAGACGGTGTCCTATGTGGTGTGGTAAAACTCCGAGTTCATCGCAACACTAAGACTACCGCGAGGCTGCGTCTACGAATATTTATTTTCATTTTGATACTAGCCATTGTATTAAGACTTACCTTAAGGCTTATACGCTACAGATCACGTTATTTAGGCATTCAAGTGTAATAATATTTATTAAAATTTTAACAATGAAAACGTATACATATTTCTATATATATTAATTAAATTTTGGGCACATTGCAAATATGACATCATAGATCCCTGGTCTACGTTTTGTGGCTACTTTTAGTTTGCTACGGTTATCTGTCAATATATATTTTAATAAAGCCTCTTAAGGAATAAAGAAGAACATTTATTAATATAAACTCATAAAGAGCAGCGTATGTGACATTTTATATAAGAACTGAAACACAATATTAATAACTTTATCTGTCAGAGTCTGTAAAAAAAGACATTAACATTTAATTTTTTATTTGTTATACAATTAACTTTATTCTCATTGCATTCCTCTTCTACATACTAATGTATATAAATGTAAACATGTACCCATCTTTGTCATATTAGAATATATTTAACAAACTCAGAACTAATAATTACTTACATAGAAGAAGACGTTTTTCATGTCTTTAAGATACAAACAAGTTATCATACTAATAATTTCATTGTAAGTGAAAGTGAAGGTCTGGATTGTAAACACTCTTCCTGTACAAGCCTATTTACTTTGTCCGTGAAGGTATTCAATTTGTAAATAGTAACAATCACAATTAATTGGAAGTCCTTATGAGATAGAAGATCTCCTACTTAAGAATAGAGAGCTTTCTTTCTTATGACTGATTTTAAAAAAGGAAATGAGTTGATTAAATCTAAGAAACTGGCTCATTAGCATTATTGTTTAAAACTAGCCGATTGGCTTTAACTTCCACATTTGCTAGATCCCTTCAACCAGATTGGTGGATAAAATTAAAATGTCCAGAATGTTTAGACTGAATTAGTCTCATACTCATTATAAAATTTACTAAAAGTATGTAATAATTGCAGAGAATTATCTAATCCTTTAATGGCTTAGTTTTATTATAAATCAAAAAAGGTTAGTTAGAATTAAATTTCATCATAATTTCTAAAGTTCTTGGAAACATTAACTAAAAAAAAACTCTCTCTCTACCACATCACATTTTTCCTTAAATCTGGTTTTTGACCTCACTGGTACTATCGAAAACAGAGAAGTAACATTATGTGTTCTTTTTAAATCAGTAATGTATGTAACTCGCTTGACTTTGACACTTTTCTGGGCATTCTCTCATCTATCCCCGACTGTTATTATCGCTACTAGTAGACTTTGGCATCTATGTTATGTTCCTAAACCTATGCATTATATAAAATCTTATTCTAGTTATACAGAGAATTTACGTAGAACATATCGGACTCGTGAAGTTCTATTTCTAGCCTAAAAACGTATAAGGCTTCTAGTAACTAAATATATAAATTTTGAAAACACGATAAATTAAGATTTAATGAACTTAAGTCAAACAAAATAAAAATTAAATATTCTATTGTTCTGTATAACGTTTTATGCTTAAATAAAATTTTAGTTTTAACTAATTCGATATGCAAGTACAGGTAATTATACAATTTGAACATGGAATAATATTATATGCGACTGTAAAGTATACATAATGTCTCTGAAGTTTGTCGGATTTCCTTAATCTAAGTCTAAGCTAGTGCTCGTATAAATTTTGAAAAGAAGCATTAATTTTAACTCACAACTGTGCCACTTTATTAAGTTTTGTTATCTCAGAAACTTACCAAAATTATTGATTTGTTTCCAGTGAATAGATTATATGAAACCTTTCTGCATTTCTTTGGCTTTTAATTTTCTATAGCATTTTAAAGAGGTGCTTTAAAGATTGTTTAAAATAATAAGTAATTCTAATTAATTTAACACAAAGGAAGCTGACCTTTACTGATTGTAATGATACCAAAATATCAATAAATCTGGGTTTTAATATTAATATAGTCTAATTGTCTTAATTTCTATTTATGAAAGTTTGTATTGAACAATATTAATGAAAGAAAGGATTTGTAACAAATTCTCATACAAGAAAAGAGAGAGCTTCAAAAATAAATCACCGACGTTTTAGCAGAAATCTGTTCTACAAAAATGATAACTTCAACACAGAAAAAGATAATGCACATGTTTTATATAGTAGGTATATAACTTTACAGTATATCACGATAAGAACAGTCGATGTTCGTTTTTTAATAAATTACTTATAAATATTTTCTACAAAAAAATTACAAAAGAAATTTAACTAAAATATAATTTAATAAACAAAACAATGTCTTAGTTGAAAAATAAAAATCGGTAATTTTTTAGAGTATAATTAGATGAGTAACTCCAGAATATTGCTTCACAAAATTTGGCTTTGAACTTCTTAACTCCACATTTCTCACAATAATGTATAATTATCTATGTAACTGTTAATATGAACAAAAATTAAGAAAAATCATATTTGTATTCACAAGAAAACTTATATTCATAATTCCTTTCATATATACTACGTTGAAAAGAAATGAGGTACAATCAAATCCAATACGGTTGGATCCAAACCTAGGAGTCGTAGGATGTTCATAATTTAATTCTCTCTTTATACATATATTAAGTATATATATTTATTTCTAGTTCGAAAACGAATCCAAATCATACCTTCACTCACACAATCAAGTTCCTTGTCACTTTCATTTTAACTTACAGAAAATATGTAGTTCTATTTAAAGATATTTTTTATCCTATTCAACTTTGGTCCGCTATATCGTGACTCTATAAAATAATAAGTTATGGTTTTATATTTATTTGATTTTGTCCTTTCAATGTCCTGAATTATGTGACTTGCCCCAGTTTCGTTAATCACGTAATATTTATCTCAAATATGATCCAGGTCTATTTAAGACAGGATTCATGTTTATGAGATTAAAATCACTATCAGAAAGTCTTTTAAAGTAGAGGATAACCGACCATGATGGAACAAAAAGAACAACTTATGGTTTTAAAAAATCGTTCGTTAATTAATTCAATTCATATTAACCCGAATATGTAAAGGTACTATGGAAGTCGTTTAAGTGGAGTCTTGTTGTAAATATGGCTTCCATTTTAAATAAATTTTTATTTCTTGGAAATTTCTTTATTATTTAAAAATGAGATGGTAAATAACATTAAAAGAATCTAATGTTTTTGAATTATACTACGCGTTTCTAATGCACTATATAATCTTGACGTTACATAGACAGTTCCAACCCGTTTGCCCGTGATCACGGGTGCTGGAGTAAGTAAGTAAGTACTTGCCAAAATAAAAGAAATCATTATACAAAAGTATATTTTAATACAAACGTGCATCCTACTGATATTCATTTGAAAAATGTCTATAGATAAAATATATATAGACAAACAAAAATATTAAAAAAATTAGTAGAGTATATATATACTTGAAAATACGTAACAATTTTTTTTACTGAAAGGAACCACAAGCGTAAACAAACATAACCTTCTTCATCTACTCTTTATGTAACAATTTGATTTGACGATTGAATATTTCATAAGAGCATACATTTTATGTTATCGAATATAAACAATGTTTCATTTTAGTATGCAAATTCTTATTATATAAAAGAATCCTCACAGAAAACAATTGTTTGTTATACGAAAATAAATTATTCAAGTTGAAAATTTCAAAAAAAAGAACGATTGGATTCGAATAATTATCAAAGCATCGTCGGAATTGTTGTATAACATTGAAGCAATTGAAACTACACGACAGTTTTATTTGAATAAAAGTTAAATAAAGGAACTAATTAACGCTGTTCAAGCGATGTTGTAGAAGAATGTATTTGTTTTTATCGATGCTTGCATGTATTGAATGACTTAATTAAATTATGAAACTTTTAATGATAAAAAATGTATTTAAAAAAAGTGTGTAATATTTTTTTAAGATTATTCTTACATTCATCAATACGTTTGGACTGCATCAATATTAAATCTAATAGATATAGAAGTTTTTAAGTATTATCATTCATAAAAAAAAATTGTTGGCCTCCAAAATATACATTTCTAACAACTCTCACTTAGTAATGACTTAGTCGTCATCAGTTTGTCAGTCGTGTCTAACTCTTAGAAAGTACATATGAATCGGAAAAATCACATTAGTACTTGCCAGGATCGAACCCGCGCCCTCGTGACCGTTTTAACCAATAGGTGGCCTGGTGACTGACCACTGACTGACCACTGACTCTTGACTGACTGACTTCATCGAATAAGTAATAGTAAAAGACTAATATATCTGACCTAGCATAAAAAACTACTGTTACGATTAAAACATTCAATGATACAGCAAAAATTGTACAAAAATATAATTTTATAAACGATTACCTATACAAATTTAAATTGAAGTGGCTTTTTCAAATGAATACGATAATTATACAAAAGGAAGGGTTGGTTTTATAAAACCGCAATGAACGTAAAACATTTATCAAATAGCAGTAATTTAAACAAAATCATTTCAATATATTAAAATAGAGTGTCCCAATTTCCAACCTTATATATTGCTTTCCGTTTACATATTAGAGTACAGAATTCACTACTAATGAATGCTATTTGGTCAGATGACGCAAGACGCATTAG